GACATCACATTTCTTCCTTTGCACTGTTGCATTATATTCCATTGCATGAACTTAATATCATTTAATTTTTTCATAATATACTTTCCCAGTATACTTATATGGATAGATGCTGAATCTTCAGAAATGTAAGAATAGCGTAAGTGCCCACAAACCTTTTGCCTAGATTCACCAGGTGTTAACATCTGCCACCTGTTCATTCCTCCTCCGAGCCATTTAAGAGTTGGCTGCAGATAATCATGACAACTTTACCCTCAAAGATAAGTATCTCTCGAGAACCAGGACACTCTCCTTTATAACATCATAATAATCACACTCAGGAAATTTAACATTGTCACAAAACTTTAATCTATATGCCATGTTCGAATCCCCCAAAGAATAACTGCGAATACCTAGACACAGACGCACCTCTCCATGAAGAGCTGCGACGCCAAGCGGAATGGTGCCAGGCCCCTGCGTGGCCAGCGCTGGGCAAGGCAGCCACAGGCCTGCATGCCGCCTTCGTGTGCGAGGCGCTCCTCAGGGTGGGGGGCTCCCTGTCTGCTGGGGAGGGGTTCACTCTGTTGCTTTTTTCATTTTAGCAGGTGAGATTATCTAAAAGTTCCTAATTTCAGAAAAGGTTAAAATGAAGCAACAATTCTGCCAGATTTCAGAAACAAATCAAAACCAAACAGAATAAAACCTTCACTCAAATTTTCTTCTGGGGTGTCCTGATAAAATTTTCCCGAGGGTACATATCAAACAAATCCCTTCAAAGCGGTGTGACATGCTGACACACCCCACAGCAAGGCAGGTCCCTGACCCCCCCCTCCCCACACACACAAACACACACACACTCTTATGTCACATAATTGTCATGGCAGGACAGTATCTCATTTCTAGTACTTCAGTCTCAGAGCTGAGTCCTCTGAAAGATGTCTTTGTGTCCTCACAACTGAATACAGATGAGCTTACAGTGTAGTAAATGTCAACTCACGCCAACTCATTCACCAGTTATGATTTTTTAAAACATAATTTCCTAATACAGCGGATAGGTCCTCAAATAACATTGCTATGGTCAACGTCATTTTGTTATAAGGTTGACGAAATGTTATAGGAACTTAACTCTTGTTCACATCAATTAGCCTACAGTAAAACTGGTTTCATTATACATTGTTTCACTTAAAGTCACAGAACCTCTTGATGACATTAAGTGAGGATGTATCATACATAGCTCCACACAAGTGTCTACGTAAGCCAGCATTTCTCCAAGTGCGAGCCATGGACCACCCATACCAACATGTGGAACTCATTCTACGTGTTGGTTCCCAAGCTGCATCTCAGCCTATTGACTCAGAATTTCTGGGGCTGCACCCCAGGAATGTGCATTTTAAAAAGCATCCCAGATTATACAAAGCACATTTATCTTTGAGAACCACTGAGCGAGACTTTAACCTGAGATTAACTGAAGCTTAGTGTGGGAAACTCTGTGGAATAAGGATCAGCCATTGCAAACCAATCTGTACTGTTTTCTATGGCAGTGGCTCTTACATATTTTGTCCAAAGCCCTTACAAATGAATATATTATATATTATCACACAGAACACACACGTACAGAAATTAAAATTTCATGAAACAATATGTATCCTTACGTACTTGTGAGGCACTCTGATATAGTCTATCTACTCTATTTCAATTTTTAAAAAACACTGAACATAACTCACTAAATCTATTTCACAACCCTCTAATGAATCACAAACTGAGGTTTGCAAAACACTGATCTATAGCAAGCAACTGAAAAGTAAAGCTCAATTGAGACAGCATAAACCAAGTGAGTAAAATATCACACATAGTCATCAAACTAGATTTTTAAAAGATAGTCTTAAAATATATACATTCAGCTGGATTTAGAATAGTTTAATCATGATACTGATACCCAAATGAAAAAAATTTCATTTGGCCTGATTTCAAATCTTATTACTTTCAACTAAAAATTATAGGTTTTAGGATAGAGCATGTTGGAGTGAAAATTTGGTGCAATTTTAAGACTGGGAGTCCTGGTAAGTTCACAGATGCACTGAGAACCTGGCTCTCCCACGTGTCAGAGATAGCAGCCTGAGTAACAACCTTGCTGAGCCTCAGCTGTTTTTATCTATGAAATGGGGGTAATAACAGCAACTATCTTGTAAGGGTGCTAGGAATATTAAATAAGATCATCCACATAAATAATAATAATAATTATTCAAAGATAAGATGTGTTTAAACAAGAGTTATACAATCTCAAAGAATGATAGAATGATTAAATATTCTTATATAAGTTTTCATGTAGATTGCTATGCGCACAAATTTACTGTATTCCTGGCATTATCCTTCTCTTGATAAACACTGAACAATTTTTGAGTAAGGCAGTCTGCTAAGTGCTGGAGTGACAAAGAAGCATGTGATATGGTACCATGTACTAAGCAGCCTGTCACCTAGTTAGGACAAAAAAAGAAATGTAAATACCCAATCATATGCCAAGTGCCAAATATAACAGGTGCTGAAGGGCACTACAGTTCAGAGAGCAGAGGACTGGAGGTCAGCAAGAGCTCCAGAGGTGGGGATGGAAGGGTGGGGGGTTTCAGTAGAAAAGAGGGTGGAGAAAATGCCAAGCAGAAGAGAATAACGCGAGCAAAGACAAGGGGGGCCAACTGCGCCCCCAGTCTGGCTGGGCACGGTAAGTCATCAAGACAAAGTTAGAATTAGGAGCCAGTGTGGGTACCAGGCTGGGGCAGTGGGAATCACTCAGGCTGACTGCAGAGGGCGGGGCATTCGGAGCAGAGGTGGCCTGATCAAAGCAACACAATGGAGGGGGTAGGACCCATCCCAAGGCATCAGCAACATCAACACTGCAAACATCACTAGTTAACAGAACGAGGACACCAACGCAGAAAAATGGGGTTCCAATAAATGTTGCCAAAGTTTCTGTAGCACCTCTTTACAGCACTGATCTCCAGCACAAAGTTCTCCGCATGAAGTTTTAAATAAACGACCCCTACCCTCAAATGACGTTACTTTTCTTGTTCGGATTCTATTCATTCTTTGCTTACTAACCAACCTCTCATTGAGAATTCGGCTTGCTAGGTAATTTGATATAGTAAAACATGCCTTGATAATAACAGTCCTTAAGCATTCTAGTCATTAGAAGGGGTATTCCCCATAACAATGACTAAACCGGCTGCTCATCCACCAGACTTGTGTAAATTTGCTTATTTGTATCTATCAGCAAATGTCTGGTCATCCTTTAAAGTCATGGGAAGGTGCCAGACCCAACAGCACTGAGGTGGTCAATCCTGGCTGCACTGTAGGGACACCGCACAGCTACTTAAAAATGCCTCGGAGTGGGCAGCTGGCTGCAATCAAGGCCTCTCACGGGCAGCCCCTGGGGCGGACCACCACTTTCTCAGACAATGGCTCTCAATTCTGGCTGCATGTGAGAAATCACCTGGGAAACTTTGAAAAGATCCTGGCCCAGGGACGGGCACTTCCAGAGATGACAGAAACTATCGGCTATGCAGAGGACATGAATGCTAACAATTCACGCTCCTGATTCCTAAGCAGAGATGAAAAGGATATTGCGATGCATCGCCACCGAGAGATTTCTATTTCACTTACATTTAGGATATTCAACTATTTTATTTTTTGATTTCCCTTCAACAGAGGCCATCGCTTTAAGCCGTTACTAGTTTTAAACTCTTAAGTCCTTACTGACCTAAAACAGAGGTCAGCAAACTCTCTCTGTAAAGGACAAGAGAGTAGAGGGTTTACGCTTTGCGAGTCCTACAGTTTTGGTCACAATGCCTCAACTCTGCTGGTGTACGGCAAAAGCTACCATAAATAATAAGTAAACAAATGAGCATGCCTGCATTCCAATCAAAACATATTTACTGAAAGAAGTGGTGGACAAAATTTGGCTAGTGGACTGCCTAAGCATGTTTGAATGATTATAATTAGCTTTCTGATCTTGCGCCCATTAATGCAAAATTAGTAACCAAGCATGAAAATAAATACAAAAAGTGTACTCAATCTTGGAATCTTATCTTTTGACTATCATCTTATTACCATTTACCAGAAATTCAACAGAAGCCCTGTTTATATTTAGACCATATAGACCTGTTCAGATTATTTCTGCCACTGAGTACTAATGACCACCCTCCAAGCTTCACTTATGGAGGAATTACTGCCCCGCAAACCCTCAAACATCATCACGCAACTAAAATTCTGCAAAACTCCACGGCAAACCACAGGGGAGCCTGGCAGTACCAGTCCAGCTTCCTTACTAGTAGAAAATGCCATAGATATTTATTTATTAAATAAATATTTGTATATTTAGTGCAGTAGGAAAAAAAATCCATCTCTGCTGGTTGTGCATGCATTTCTTTCCCTTGATACAACTGATCAATGGGGCATAGCTATACAACCCTAAATCTAAACTTTTGGTTAAATAATTTCTGCTCAACCAAGTAGGTTTAATCAAGGACCCTGCCCCTGTCATCCCTTCTGGCTTCCCCCTAATCTCACAAAATGCATAATGAATGACAATCAGAGGGTGAGGCCATTTGCTAAGTGGATGTCACTGTTAGCTTTATAAACTGTGGCTCAGACAGAGCTCATTGCATGGCTGGGCCCTTCCTATTCCCGCTCTGACTGAAAGACCGCAAATCTGCGTTGCTAAGAGGGAAGACATCCTGCCATGCGGAAGCCCAAAGAAGCCTGTGTTCCCTACCCTTGCCGCTCGGGGCAGTTTATCTCAAAGCCAAAATCAACACTGGCACAGTGAGGATCAGTGTCAGGCAGGCGGTCTCTGGGGGAAAGAGGGCACAGGATTCTCCCTACAAAAGGTCAGCAACCAGCCAATCTCACAGTTAACCCACAGTGTTAAGGGAAAAAAAAAAAAAAAAAAACCCTAAAGCAGGAGCGTTAGCCTTGGATGTGTAGGGGCTCAGTTACCATGACTCCTGATTATGGCTCCACATTGTACTTACTTGGAAGTGTTTTCAAGTATTCCCTTGACCTCATTCATTTCTTCTTTCCCAAAGTAAACAACGGTGAGATGGATTCTCCCATCCTGTTGGATGCACGTCTCCCTAGAAAACAGAACACATGTATGTCTGGATGTGTTTTCACAATAACAGGAAAGGCCTACACCAATACCTGTTTTGTAAAGTGCAAAAGGGTCTTGAAGTAAATTGAGTGACCTGCCAGGAGAGCAGAGATGGGGCATATCTGGCTGGCCACCACAATTACCTCTATTTGTAGTTCTCTTACCGAGAAACAGTGAAATTTAAATGTGCAGATCTGGTAAATGAAAACGCAGAAGCCACACGACCTGTCTGCCATAGGCCTAGCCCACTGGGGCCACCCAGGCACGAGAAGGGCACTGGCCTTACCCTTCTCTGCCATTAGAAGCCTATGATGTAAAGGACACACAAATTCCATTTTACAGATGAGCAAGCTGAAGTCCAGAGAAGGAAAGACTAGAATCCTTGCCCGTGACCTTTCTCTTGTGTGCCAAACAGTCTTAAAGCCTGGATGCCTATTGGTAAAGAGACATTCTTTCAGGTGGGACTCTAGAAACCCTTGGTGACACCCGGGGGTGTGACTGTCTGAAGGCACGACAAAGCAGAAACACAGGTGCTATCTGTTACCCTTCCCAAGCAGATACAGTTACCTTCATTATATCCCCGTTTCTCCTCTCTGGGACCCTGATTGTCCCAGGCACCTGGCACCTCATGCTCCAGGGTCCCGACAGCCTCTCTGGCCAGGCCTCTGGCTCTGGACTGGTCTACTCCTGCTTTCCCCGCCAAAGCTGACGCTAACGAGCCATGTCCTGTGCTCTTAATGGTGACACCTGGCTAGCGTGGCACGATCCGCTGCTGTATGTGTAATGTGTGTGTGCATGTACATGCAGATATGTCTGTGAATGTATATATGTAAATATACATAGCAAACATGTCTTTATGTGTGCATAAATATATGTGTATAAATACATATGTGTATAAATATATTTGTATAAATATACATATTTATAAATATGTGTGTGTATATACATATCTACATATATGTATATACACATATACATGTCTGTGTATAAATATATATGTATGTGTGTGCATAATTTTATAGGTGTTTCCTGGAAGCATGTTCATGGAAAGATTCTACTGGTGAGATGATATTTTGTGATATTTTGATATTTTGCATGTCCTCCCATTTTACTGCTTTTGTCTCTGTGTTTCCTTAACCCCTAAACAACAATCTACATCATAGCTTTCCAGAAATCCCTGAGCTTTATTTGCAGAAGCGAATTTATTCAATGCATTTTATAATGACATCAAAAAAGGAGTGACTGTCTAGCTCAGATGGCTGGGAGAAATCCAAAGAAATAGATGATATAGTTCCCAACCTCAAAAAACTTATATAAGAAGCGAAATGAGCTCAAATAAAATAAGCCCACCTTATGGCACTGATAAAAATTAAAGAGAATTCAGAAAGTGCAGGAAATTCCATGGGCGGGGATAGTTGGGGCCTTGAAAGATGGACAGGGTTTAAAAAGGTAGAGGGAGGACAAAGGGAATTCCAGGTGGAAGAAATATAAGGGAAGATGATATTGATCCTGGGCAAGAGGTGCGCAGGGCTCACGTTGCGCACAGGCGTGGTTCTGAGAATTCTGTTTATTTCCTGCCGAAGAAAGGTAAGAGCCGCCTCTGAAATTCAGACTGATGGCAGAGCTTTTAAAAGCAGACAAGGGACCAAAAACAAAGGCCCAGGATGTGACAATGTGCTTCAAAACTGAGAGCTCCCTCAGCGCCCCATTCCCTGCAGACTGAATCATCACCTACTGACAATAAAATTCTCCACGCAGAAACGATCCCTTTTGCACACTTGCCAGGTAGAATAAAAGAACATACACAGCACCAAGCTCCCGAAAAACTGCTTTGAAATGGTGTGTGCACCTGGAAAAAATCCACCCCAGAATCATTAGAGGCATCACCCACGGAGCCTGAATAAAAAAGTATTCTCGTATTTTTTGTTTGTTTGTTTGTTTTGTTTTTTTCCTAGGAACATCTTTGCTGGCATTTTAAAATCCATTCAAAGCCCTTCAGAGAATAAAGCAGATACATTGGATCTTTACTCTGCATTCACCAGCTGAGGCTTCCCAAAAAGGCCAAGCAGGATTTGCTCAGAGGTCCGCTCCAGGGTTCCATTCCATTAATTCATTTATCCCTTCCTTCATTCAACAATCAATAACCAAACAAACAGTACACCATGTGCCAAATACTCTACCAGGGTAAAATAAGACATTTCTGCCCTTGAGAATTTCTCCATATTATGCATGACTGAAACTGCCTATAATGCAATAAACAAACGCTCAATGAGAGGAGTGTAGTACTATGGAAACATCACTATCTGTCTGAATGGTCTTGAAATGTTCATATTTTTCAAAAGAATTCTCACTAGACTCCATCCCAATGATGTGACTAAGAAAGAGTATGCATGTGGGTGACCACATACATGAAGCTGTCTGTGTTTGGCTCTGATTATTTGTACCCGAACACAGCTTGCCTGACCCCTCAAGCTCACTTCGTTGTGCAAAGCATTATTCTCGATGCGTCAGATTTAAAAAGAATAATAATGTACAGTGCCTGCTGAGGAACCAGCCATCCAGTTTGCCTGGGATTCTCCAGGTTTTAGCACTGAAAGTCCACATCCCAGGAAACTCCTCAGTCCCAAGCAAACTGGGACAACTGGTCACCTTACCTGTCTCAGAGACTTCACAGTGCATTGGAAGACAGGGACAGTTGAAGAGCTATAGTACAAGACAGGATGGAATAACTTCAGTGACAGTTGGGTGGCCTACAACAGGTGTTTACCTCTTAAAAAATAATGTTTTAAATAAATTTCAAATAGTGATAATTGCAAACCATGTACCCAAAAATATGGAAAATGGCAAGTCTTGCTACCAAAAAATGACCAATGAAAGAGACATACTTTTTTGACTTAAACATCACAAAAAGGAGGCCAAGAAAAGAAAGGGAAGATTCTATTTTAGCCTCACGTGGCCCCCGGGGGAGCTGGAGAGTCAGCAGGGTTGGAAGAAGGCAGCCCAGGGGGAAGGCTGGGCTAGGAAGAGACAGGGGCCCCAACTCCCATTTCAGGATCTCAGCACAGGAAGAGCCACAGGGGACTATGCAGTCTCTCCACATCATATGGGCAGTTGAGCAGGTAGAACCAACCTAACTATGCTGTGTGAAGTAACCCTTGCAAAAAAGGTGGCAGAACCAAGGGACAAAAGACCATCACGTTGAGTCAAGATCCGTGATAAGAGCAGGAAGAGGAAAAGGGATGGGAGATGCTGACAGCCAGATGAAGTATCTCAGGGGAAGTTTGTTTCCCCTTGAGGAGCCAAAACTTTACCTTTTCTCCTCTTTTTGACTTGCGGGAGTTTTTGAAAGAGCTGCTGAAGGAAGACAACAGTAAATGGGATGAGAAGTAAACACATGGGGCTGATTCTCTCTGATGTTCCAGGCCTCAGGCCTTAACTGAGGGCCCGTTTGGAGAGCCAGTTAACCTACCCCTCAGGGAAAAGACCCATCCACTGTGAGGCAGAGTGAGCCTGGTGCAGCTCACAGGCCCATCCCAGGACTCGGCAGAACCACAGGAACTGGGAGCCTCCAACAAAGGCTGCACAAAGCCCAGCCGAGGTCTTCCTTCCCTCGACTCATTCTTTCAAACTAAAATGAAGTAAATGGAACAATGAATACCCTGTCCTCAGAATATAGCTGGGAGTGGGACAGAAACAGTTCTCAGTCAGGACACAGAGGTAGCCAAGAAGAATCCACCCCTACGTCAGAGCAAACAGTTTGGGTGGGCCTGTGTGTGCCAGAAAGACGAAGGATGAAGACAAACATCACAACTTCCATGTTTCAAGAATAACAACCAAATTAAATGAAGAAAGAGAAAGGGAGAATTAGGAAAGCAAAGAGTGTTCAAAAGCCAATGAAAAACCTAGTCTGAAAGAAAATACAACTCACACAGAAGAAAACGTCTTACAAATGTTTCACACTTTCTTAACAAAAACGTGAATTTAATTTTAAAAAGTTCAAAGGGAGCCCCAGCCAGTGTGGCTCAGTGGTTTGGGCATTGCCCAGCAAACCGGAAAGTCAGTGGTTTTGTTCCTGGTCACGGCACGTGCCTGGGCCACAGGATCAGTCCCCAGCTGGGGTGCATATCAGAGAGCTGATTGATATTTCTCTCTCACATTGATGTTTCTCTCCTCTCCTCTCCCTCCCTTCCCCTATATGTAAAACAAAACAAAAAAAATTCATAAAATAAAATTTAAAATGCTCACAGAGGAAATGACAAAAACAACAGATTAAGCTTCACAGGCATATTCTATGCTCAGAAATTACATTGATAAACAAAACAAACAGAAGTAACCATTTAAAATAGTAAGATATGGAATAGATATATCAGAAAATCAAATTCCTCACATAAAAGAAAGGCTTATGTGATCAGATAAAATAAAGGCATTAAAAATAGAGAGACGCTAAAAAATTTGAGAAGACCTCAGAATGTACAATTGTGTCTACGAAGCAGAGAATCCAACAATGACAACAACAAAAAACAGGAGAAGTACTCAAAATTAGAACAGCAAAAATAGTTCCCTGAAATGAAAATGTCCACAAAGGAAAAAAAGGCAACTGAATTACAGGAAAATCTGAGAGAGAACAATAGACACTGAGATGAGCCATATCCTGATTAAGGTATTATTGTATGATTCAGGACTAAAGAAGGAATTCTTCAGGCATTCAGAAAACAGTAAGTCACTTTCAGGAGATACAGAATAAAGTTGTCCTAACACTTTTCCATGGTACCAGCAGGTGCCAGAAGAATGTTTACAAACTCCTGAGGAAAGACGGTGTCCCCCAAGAATTTTAAGTCCAGCCAAGTTATATGTAAACTACCAAGATAGTAAGTAGACATTCTATTCTCAAGAACTTATGCTTCTTCTTGAAAAAAATTTCTTGACCATGAAATGAAGCCAATCAAAGCCTCAGAAATGAAGAAGTGGTTGATGAAGAATATTGTCAGAGGACTGACAACCAATACACTAAATCCACTTAAATATAGGAATTGTGGTTATAAAACAGAATGCAAGGTTGCAAACCCTGACAAGGTAAAAATAACAGATAACAAAACAAATTGGAAAATGGAACATAGGAGATGGAGAAAGAATAACTGTGCTAATTTCCTCCTCTTACTGTAATTTTTCAGTCAATTCAGTCTAAATTAAAACATGTGGTTAAAAATACAGAATAATTTCAATCTTCTGTCTTGCAAAATCGCTTTTTTAACTTAAGAGGGATCTCTTAGGAGCCAATATTTCTTACAGTTGAGTAATATTTTCTTGAAGATCAGCGATTTCTTCTTTTATACTTCAGATTCTCTTTTATAAGTTTAAGTAAGGTAAAGTTCAATTCTTTAGTTAAAAATAGAATATATAGTATATCTTATGTTATATTAAAGTATCCCTAGCTAGTTCTTATATCTGCAAATATACAAAGTACCTAGAACAGTATTCAATTATTATTAAAAATGATTAATTTTGGGAGGCAGGGTCTGGAGTGAATTTTTAAATAACCCTTGCTGTGTTCTCTATTGCTTAAATATCTTATAATAGCCATGTATTACTTTTTAAAACTAAAAAGACATGTTTAAATTATGATAGCCAAAAAAAACCCTGTCATTGAATTTTTAAACAAAACATATGGTAACTATATAAAAATTTATAAAACACAGAGAATCCAAAAGAAGGAAGTAAATTACTCATCATGCCATCACCTTCAGTGCCTAAGACAGTCAGTCATTTCCAGGCTTGGGATGGAAGGGACTTCATAAAGACATCAAATATTTAATAAACAGCCTCTTGTATCTTCTCCCAATACTTTTTATGGTCACATTAATTACATTTAAATATTTAATTGACTGGAGTTTACTTTGGGTTTTGGTGTGAAGTAAGAATTAATTTTTTTCTATGTTTAATTAGCAGTGCTAAAGGCATGCCCTGAACCATCCATTCTCTGCTGGCTAATTTAAAAGCCACCTTTACTGATGTAGAACTAAACAGCCTCAGGTTTGAGTACCATTTCTCACCTTATTTTTTCAGAAACCTCAAAACCCTCAGAAACGCCTTGACTACAGAGCAAACTGCCCACTCAGGCTTCTGCTCAAGTGTCCTCTGCTCTGGGAAGATATTCTTGAGCCCCAATGTTCCCTGTGTCTGCTTCTGCCATCGCTTCCAGCTCCATGTGAGTAGATTTACCTCCATGAGGGCTGGTGCTGCCTCTCCAGCTGGTCTTCTCAGCCCACATCGGGTCGAGTGGGCTGAGAAGACACCCACAAGCCTCCAAATATCCCACCCATGGAACAAGTCTTCCCATGACCCTCTCCTGCCTCCCTACAGCAACGGGCACCTCAAGGGCGATAGTCAAGAAAAAAGGCCCTAGGATGTTTGCTTGTTTTTAGAACATTAATTAGAAGTACATTTCATTTCACCATCTCAATTTTGGTGACTTGTGGGCTACTTATTTTACTTCTACTTTTTGCAACAATATCTCCCTTCTAGGCTTATTTCCATTGTTAATTCTTTGCAATCTTCATGACACTAAGGCAATGTATACCTTACATACACATGCCAGTCATGGATTCCTTGCTGCTTCAGGCCCTGGAGTCCCACACAGAGGACCCGGCCCTTCCCCAAGCAGACATTCCTCTAGCACAAGCACTGCCTCACCAAGCCCAGCCCGCTCGGAGGCTGGCCTAGGTGCTGATGCAAGTCTCAGGGCCCTTAATCTGGCAAGCCCTAGGCAGCTTCCTAGCTAAAGGAACTCGTCCTAGGAATGGGCACACAAGTGGCTGGGGGGAATGATTTGACCTACTGCCTAGTGCCAGCCACAGGTTCAGTCCTTCTAAGGATGTAATGCTTAATCAACCAGCAGCACCCTGCCATTCTGAGGAGAGCACAGAGAGAACAGGGAGACCTCACAGGAAGGCCGACAGAGCCAAAGCTACACAGACACTTCAGCACGGGACCCGGGAGGACACGGCCGAGACTCAAGTGACCGTGGCCACAGGCGTGTTCTACAAACTGGGAACGGAAGGAAAGATCGGTCCACCCTAGCCCGTATGACATCACAGGAAAGAGAAAGAGAGTTATGATAGCTTTCTTTGAGTATCTGTAAGGCTATGATGTTTAAGGGGAAATGGATTTGCTACTTCTTCATAGGCTAGCATTGGGCCCACTGGGTAGAACTACAGTGAGGCGGACTTCAGGGCCTCATGAACGTGAGCTTTCTGTCTGCACTGGTCAATGCAGAGGCAGCCTACTTTGTGAAGCAGGTAGTTACCTGGACACCCACACTGCAAAGAAAAATTGCATGTCAGAATGCTACCACGGGGTTCTGACCTACGGGAGGATTAGGCCAATGGCCTCCAAAGGTCTCTTCTAAGACTACTGGATTCTGACCTTAAAGTGTAATTAAGAAAGGGTTACTCTTCAAATGCAAAAATTAAAAAAAGAGTGCATTCATTATCCAGAATTTTAACAAGTATCAACCATACCCTTATACTCAACGTTACTGGCTTTTAATAATGTGAATTTAATGATAAAATACTAAAAATAAGTTTGATCTTCCAAGATTTATAATTAGACACATATGACTTCCTATCTTTAAAAGAAGCTGGCTAAGTAAGTTAGCTGATTAACCTCAACCAGTAAGTGCATGTTAGTCACTTACACCTTATAAAATCCAACACTGCGCAAGACCTTGGAGACCCGTGTAAAAACTACATTCCTGTATCTGAAAATAAAACCCCAGTTAGTCTTCTTAAGTAGCCTCAGAAATGAGTGCTTGGAAACTTCTTGGCATAATTTTAAGTTTAATCTCCGAAGAGACACAGGTTAGAATATAAAATAGATTCTGATTTAATCCATTCCAATCGCTGCTAGAGCAGGACAGCAAATGAAGCCCGCCTACAGCAGAGCAAGTGTAGCCTCTAGCACAAATCCGTAGCCTCGTGGTGCTCGCCTTTGAGGGTCTGGGAGAGGGTCCACTCTACCAATGAGATAGCATGGCCCCTGCTGTTCCCAAACCTGAGCCCAAAGTCAAGTCAGAACTGCACACAGCAGGCAGGAGGCCACCTCTGCAGGTCCCGATGCAAACCCAGTCCTTCCTATGTTCCCCTTCTGAAGGTAAATCTGCTTAATCTGGTAACTTTTTTAATTGCTTTAGGGAAAGGCAAACACAAGTGATAATGTTGATACGGTGAAAACAGAAGTGAACAAGAAGAGAAAGAAGCCTTTGTACTTGGCAGGGGAAATGAAGGAGATGATGGGAAATGATATCAGCATTCAACAGGCTCCACGTGGAGGAAGATAAACAGGTGCAAACAAACAAACCTGAAATTCTGCATGAACTGTCGGAACTTGTCCACCCTCCTTGCCAGTGGCACGATCACGTTGATAAGTGTGTTGGCCATGTTGAGTTTTTCTTTTTTGACTTTCATGATAGGGCCAAATGGTCGAAACAAGACAAGTCGTCTGAATTCGTGTTTGTGGTCCCCTTTGAACGTGAGCTCATACAAAGTGCCTTTATCCCTTTCTGTGCGGTAGATCCCTGTTAACAGAAATACAGGAAAAGATAATTGTTTTTATAGCTGAGGTCTGGCACAAAATGCCTTTTAAGAAAACAAATTAAAAACTAAAATCAAATCTCTACATTTAATAATTATTTAAAAAGACTCAAAATGCTCCCACTTTAAAAAATCCCCAAAGACATCAAAATACCATTAATTTAAAATTACCGTTATAAAGACTTCATAAAAACATGGGGGAAGTTTGTAATGTTGGATATGAAACTATATTTAGCAGCATTGAAGAAAGGACTATAAGAAAACATGTCAAAATAAGACCGGCTATGATGCAGAGTAGGGTTATGTGTTTTTTCTTTTCTGCTACTATCTGCATTTTCTGCAATATGATTAGATAAAATAATTGTCATATTTATTTAATTGAAATACTGCATTAATATTATCTCTTAAAAATTACAGCCATTTCAAATTAACTGACCACAGTGATCTATTCAAGTTAACCTGGAGTGGCTCCTATGGGCCATATGGCCCTCTGGAAGCTTCTGGAAGCAGTAAAACAGAAAACAGTTAAAACACCCAGCACCACGACAGGCACACATCTTAATTTCATGTTGTCCTTCCTACCTCTGAGAAGCAGCACAGCTCAGTGCTCTAGGGCAAATCTATTTATGGACCCCCCCCACCAACCCCCGGCCCAAACTGTGTTCTACCCCATGTCACTGTTACTAAAATTCCACACAGTCTGACTTGTCAGGCTGAAGATGTGACCCAGAACCTCAGCTCAACTCTCAGGGTGAGCCTCCCTCAGGCCAGGCTCAACAGCTTCCCTACCCACTGAGCGCCCGACCCCTGGCACCTATGCTCTGTCGCCTTGCCAAAGCCACGTGTATTGTGGGCGTTCTTCCTATGGGGGGGGGGGGGAGGTGAAATTCTACACATCACCAGATAAGCTTCCTCATCTGTTATCTTTGATTTGCCATGTTTTCTATGCCATGACCCTTCCTTCTTCTTAATCCCACAATAGCTAGAAAGCACCCCGCAGTCTTTGAGTAGCTACCAAAATACTTTTCCAAGGAAACTATCAGCCTAGGGTCAGCTACAGTTCTCAAGGCCTCTCCCAAACCACTTTTCTTTTCTTCCTCACTCTCCCTCCTCTTCTCTTCAGCAGGAACTACAGGTCTTCTTCACAAACACTACCAAGTCCTTATCTCTGTTCTTAGCCTGATAAGAGCATTTCACACTACGGCCTTGTTTTATGGCCGCTTTGATCCTGTTAAAGGGGAGTTTGAATCCCCTTTAGGTGTGACAGAGAGGACTTGGGGATTTTTATAGAGTCATTTCTGACAACTGTCCCACAGCCTGTCTAGAGATACAAAACGTGCAACCCACTGGCAATGACAGTTGAGCGCAAGTGACTGAAGGACCTGACGCAGAGTTACAAGGACCAAGTCCTCTTCTGAAGCCTTCATCACTTCCCTGGTGGCGGGTGGGTGGCCCTGCAGCCCTCAGAGCCGGGGAAGCTGAGAGAAGCTTTACTGAGCTGGTGCTGAAACAGAAGTCAGAGCCACCACAGGGGGCCATGCATGGAAGAAAGAAGGAGGACCTCTGCGAGAATGTGAAGTGGTTCCCCTCAAAGTCTGTTCATTCTCTCAGGCAACTAGGACTCGTGAAGGGAAGAGGCTCTTCCCCGACCGCTAACGTGTCTACACAGCTGGGTAAGCCCCCAACTCCAGGGCCCAAATAAGGCTGGGCTGAGTCATGAAGTAGTCACGTTCGGTGACAGCATGTCTGCACAAAGCAGCCCTGCCAGGGTGGGTGGCTGAGTCCTGTCAAACTTCCACTACGCGTGTCAGCAAGCGGGCCCTCTCCCCGCAGCAATAAACATGGGAAAGGCTGCTGACAGTTTAACGTGCAGATAAAAATGTAGGTGGGCTGGGGATTTTTTTTTTAACTCAGTCATTTTCTTTCTCAGCACCAGAATAAGAATCATTAATTTTTAAAACCTAAATCCATAGATTTGAAAACATGGGTGGAGATATACACAAACCCATCTCAAGAGATGGACATCTATCTGTAAAAAACCCAGAGAATGTAATGTCTTCTTAATAGCGATTCTTAGAACCATGTGCGCACGGCTGCCCATGCGGAACACGCAGGGTCAGCCCGGAGTGACAGGCGGCAGCCTCGTGAGTGGTTTCCAGGAAGGCCAGCACAGCCGGGCCAACCTGCAGCCACCGTGTCAGCTGCCTTCTCTTTGTCTTCTGCATCCTGTGGCCTGACACAATTATTATATCAACTCTTTAGCATATTTCCCCATACTCCACCTAATTAAATTAATTATGGCTTACAAATCTCATTTTAGATCCCTTTAGTCCAATTTTAAATGTTATTTTAAACTCTCTTGCAGCCTTTGTCCACTAAAGCCCACATCCAGCCATCTGCCTGTTACACCCACAGGCACGTGCTCCCACACGGGAACACACGCGGCCCTCTCAGCCTTCTCGCAGCACAAAGGACAATACCTACCCGGACCCTTGTGCCTTGCAGAAATCTTTATTGGTGGAGACACGAAGGGGCGGAGAGAAAAGGGGACAGAAGTGTTCTGAGGCAGGAATGGTTTTAACCAATAAGCTGGCATGCACAGTGGCAAATGCAAAGTCAATCGGTCACACAGACACCTTCCTTGTGATAGAAAGTAGAATAGTAACATTTTTATGCACTATGCAAACTGAAGATCAAAATAAGAACTTTGGAGCTAGCTTAAATTTCGGTTTAGACACCCTAACGGGCACCCTCTTTTCCCTTCTTTCTCTCCACACCTGCTTTGGGTTTGGTGTTTCTGCTCCTGTGCAAGCATCCTAATGCTCATCTTACCTACTCAAGGGGCCAAACCCTAGAATGGCCAGCTAGGTGGGGACACCTCCAGGTAACCAAGAAACAGCTGCAAACGTCTATGCCTTCAGTTGACAAGGAGCTAAACAGAAGCAGGTCCCCTGTCTACATCCTGTCTTCAGTGTAGGACCTCAGAAATCAAAGGTCAAACCCTGGCCAGTGTGGCTCAGTTGGTAGCAGCATCATCCCATAAACCAAAAGGTTGCAGGTTCGATTTCCGGTCAGGGCACGTGACTAGGTTGCAGGTCTGATCCTCAGTCAGGGTGCATGTGAGTGCCAACCAATCGATGTCCCTCTCTCACATGAATGTTTTTCTCCCTCTCTCTCCCCTTCTCTTCCCCTCCCTCTAAAATTAATAAGCCTGTTCTCGGGTGAGGATGGAAAAAAAGAGAAGAAATCATGAGGTTGAGGAGGTACCACTCCTTACGCCCAATACACCCTCACCCTCTTTCAACCTGAGTGCGAGCAGGCTGTGGCCAGTGCCACCCTGCTGAGCCCAGGGGTGTCTCTGCTTTCATCCCAGCCTCTGCCACTTCCTCCATGGTGCCTAGGTCTCCCAGCGGGGTCGCTGCCCTCTTCCGCAGACCCAGGTTCCATGCCCAGGACCCAATACATCCTGCACATACCCTTTGAGCCTTAGCCTTCCCATGGTACCACTGCAATCCCACTTTCCCCCTAGCTCCAGAGCCCTCGCCAGCTTCCCAAAGCCCAGAGAATAAAGTGCCAATACCAGGGCCTCAATCCCTGGCCCCCATCTACTGCCCTAATTGTAGGGCTTGCCCCGCCTCATGTAAAATCGGGGCTCCCATCAAGCTGGTTGGTGCTGAGCACATATAGCTGCCCTTCCCCCAGGAGAAGCTGGGGCGCACCTGCAATGCTGGGGGGGATGCAAAATGGTTCAGCTTCTGTGGAAAACAGTCTGGCAAGTTCCTCAAAACGTTAAACACAGAATTATCATGTGATGCAGCAATTCCACTTCTGGGTATGTACCCAGAAGAAATGAAAACAGAGACTTGAACAGATACTTGTGCACACATGTTCATAGGAGCATTGTTCACAATAGCAAAAGATGGAAACCACCCAGATTCCCATCAACAGATAAATGGGTAAACAAAACATGGTATATACATACAATGGACTATTAGTCTTTAAAAGGAATGAAATTCGGATACACGCTACAACATGATGAACCTTGAAAACATAAGCGACATGAAATAAACCAGTCACAAAAGGATAAGTGTTGTAGGTTTCCACTTACATGAGGTACTTAGAATAGTCCAAGTCATAGAGACAGAGAGTAGGTTGGGGGTTACCAGGGGCAGGGCGGTGGCAGCAGCGGCGGCAGGCATTGGGGGGCGGGGGGGGGCAAGGAATGGCAAATTAGAGGTTAATGGGCACAGAGTTCCTATTTGACATGATGAAAAAGTTCTAGAAATGATACTGGTGATGCTCACATAACAACATAAATGTACTTCATGTCACAAAACTGTACACTTAAAAATGATTAAAATGGTAAATTATATGTTATGTGTGTTTTACTACAGTAACTGCTCTCCTCTGATGAGGCCTTGCACTTGCCACACTTTCCCACCAGGCCACCCACCTCCTCCCGACTCCCTCCCCACTCCTAAACCGGACCCTCCTCCTATGGAAAGGTTCCAGGACAATCTCAATCCCAAGTGATCACTCAGTCCTCCAGACACTTGAGTCTAAGGGCTTTCAGATCCTTTTGCTGAAGGTCCTTTTTGGCACTTGAGAACACGAAAAGGTATCATCTAATCCAGCCTTTTTATTTTACTGATGAGCACGCTGAGCCCCCAAGAAGTTGTGGTTTGCCTGCGTTCACCAAACGCTTTAACAAGGGACTGGAACACACCTCTGTATGCGGGTTTACACCTTCGAGGTCACTTTTCATATACAACGGGAATAACTCAAAGTGTAGAAAAGGCAGGACCGTGAAAAACAGAAGTCAGAATAAACAATTGCAAGTCTGTAGTCAAGCCTTAGTTTCTTTACCCACAGATAATCTTCACATCCACCCTTAGGGCGTTTCTTTTCCTTTTACACACAATAGTAACAGTTGCTAAACAACAATCAACTGAATTCACAGTCTATTACACATTCAAAGCAGTAC